ATGGCCAAGCCCGGCGTGGAGCTCACCCGCGAGTTGCAAGGTACGAGGCTGCCTTGGTCTGTGGGACGCCCCGTCCGGGAGCATCCCAGACCCAGTGCGTTCCTCCCCGCGGTACACCCCAGCCCGGTGCCTCACACAGCCCCCTCCCCCCATGCATCCCGGCTCCAAGGCAGCCCCCTGCCCCTGCATCCCAGCGCGGGCATCACTGTCCCCGGAGCACCCTTCGTTGCCCGACTCGCCTCACCCTGTCAGGACCTTCTTGTCCCGGAGCCGCCCGTCCCGCTCTTAGGTGACAGGTGCAGTTCCCTTGCGCTCCCTGGGGCTGACGCTCAGCGTTCCTGGCCCAACCCTCGGCGAAGCGTCCAGTCTCCCCTCCGGAGACTCCCGGCCTCCCCGCCGGGCGGGGCCAGGCCCGCCCCGCCGGGCGATGGGAGCTGCCCCTGGTCCTGACTGCTGCGTGGCTCAACTCCCTCCCTCCGCCCGGCCCCGCCCCGGAACCGGCCCTGAAGAGACCCTGGGAGCTGGGCAGCGCCCAGGCCAGTGGGGGCAAAGAAGCGAGTCGGCGGAGAGTCCCTGGGTGGGAGCTAAAACCAAGAGCAGGGTCTCTGCAGCTCACCTCCCACAGCCCCGTCCCAGCCTGTCCCTTCTCACTGCCCACCACCCACGCCTCAAGGGCCTCTCCTCTTTGCTTGGCTCTCAGACCTAGCCCAGACCAAGGCCCACCGACCCCCGACCCCCGACCCCGGCACTGCCACAACCCTGACCCCAGAGACGGGCGCACAGGCTAGCCCACGCAGAGAGCAGGATGCTCAAGGATACTCAGAGGCGTGCTGCACTGTGGCAATTTCCCACACCTACACACGCACACAAGCACAGTCATGAGATGTGTGTAAACACGTCTTTACTGAAAGGGCACCCCACCACACACACACATGCTATGTCTAGATGGTTCTGCTGGCAGACCGGGGCTCATTTAAACATTAATTCCTTCCCACCCTCCACTCGCACCCTACTCCCCTCCCCATTCACACACAGAAACTGTCTGGCTCTGTGCCTCTTTCACAGCTACAAGCCAGCATACTCATTCACACTTGTCCCTCCCCACCAATGCCACACTCAGACTTCCCAACATCCTCAGGAAGCATGCACACACTCGTAGTAAAGGCAGACACTCACTCCCAGACCACCTCGAATATAGTCAAAGGGACACCCCCACACCCCCACACACTGACTCACTGTGTATGTGTCAATGGCTGTTGTAGTGCATGGGTTGGAAAAATTCTTCACACCCTCAGAAGTGTAAGACACATCCTCCCACAGACAGTCAGCAACTGTCCCCTGACTCAGGGACATTGGGAGCCAGAGTTTTCCCCACACTCCAATCTCTCTCAATAGGAAAAGTTAAAAATAAAAATAAAAATAGTAGAGAGAGAGAAATCATCAAAGAAGGGAAGTTCTCTGTCCCTGTCCTTTGTCTTTCTCTGCCTCTCTATACTCCCATTTGACCCTACCCCTTCCTCTGTCTGGAGAGCCCTGGGGAGGTGGGGGGGGCCATGGGAAGGAGAGCTCTGAGCAGGCCCAGCTGTGCGACCCTGACTGTATCTTCAGACAGCATCCGGAGATGCCTGAGCCAAGGGGCTGTGTTCCAACAGCATCGTGTGAAGTTGGAGACAAAACCCAAGAAGTTTGAGGACCGAGTGCTGGTGAGGGCATTGGGGTAGGGAAGAGGTGACAGGGACAGGGGAGACAGAGGTAGGTGAGCACTGAGGAGACAAAATCTGGAGAAGGGGACAGGGCTGGTCTGGGTTGAGATTAGGAGCCTAGGGCAGGATATGAGAGTGGGGACTCCCAGAGCAGTGCTAAGGGGCTTAAGGAGGGCAGGGACCCCAGGACCCAGTCAGCTGCCATGAGCTGCTAATATTCTTTTCTCCTCTCTGCAGGCCCTGACCTCCTGGCGCCTCCACTTCTTCCCCCTTAAAGTCCCGGCCAAGGTAAGTTGGGCTGAGGAACAGGAGGAGCTCCCGGTATGCTCCCTCCTGGTGGCCCAGGCCCTTCCTTACCTGGAGCTGAGCATCTTCATCCCTCCCAGGTGGAGAGCTCCTTCAATGTCCTGGAGATCCGTGCCTTCAACACGCTCAGTCAGAACCAGGTGAGGACTGGGACTTGGAGCCCCACTATTGGGCCTGCCAGGGGAGGAAGGGGGAGGGGTGAGTCTGAGGACCTGCTGCTCCCTCTCCCCCAGATCCTGGTGGAGACAGAGCGTGGCATGGTGAGCATGCGGCTGCCATCAGCTGAAAGTGTGGACCAGGTGACGCGACATGTGAGCTCTGCCCTCTCCAAGGTCTGCCCTGGCCCTGGGTGAGTGGCAACTGAGGGGGTCTCTTAAGGGATTAGGCAAGAGGGAGACTTTGCCTTCCCTTCCTCCTTCCCTGGACCTGGGCTCCCACATTAGTGAGGAGAAGAGCTCTCATGCCTCCACTCCTGCTTTTTCCTGGGGATTTAGAGACTATAATAGGGGGCGAGTTGAGAGCCTCTTTCCAGCCCTCTCTGGGATGATTTGTTTCACCCAGGTGTCTGATACGACGTGGGAATGCAGATACCCCAGAAGGGCCCCGAGACACGTCCCCCAACTCTGAGACTTCCACATCCACCACTCACAGTGTCTGCGGTGAGCAGGGGCAGGTGTGAGGAAAGTAGGCCCTAAACCACCCAGCCCCATGTCCAGAGCCCTTTGTGCGTGCAGTGTTGCTGGGGGGAGGGGAGGGCTTTGCCTGCCCTGAGGACGCCACAGCTCCTAGACCTCAGGAGGTACATGGCGTGGCAGGAACCTAGGACACTGGTCCATGAAGTGACCTTGACTGTTCTTGAATCTCAAGCCCGTTCCCTATCTCCTTACCCCTCATGGAGCCAGCCTGTCTCCTGCCCCACAGGTGGCTTCTCTGAGACCTATGCCGCCCTGTGTGACTACAACGGGCTGCACTGCCGTGAGGAGGTGCAATGGGTGCGTTGGGCAGGGATCTGGCGGGGGGGGAAGGTGGGAGGAGGCCAAGGAGGAAGGAAGAAGCAGGTGTGAGCCAGTTCCACCTCTCCAAGGATGTGGACACCATCTACCATGCTGAGGACAATCGGGAGTTCAATCTTTTGGATTTCAGCCACTTGGAGAGCCGGTAAGCAGATGGGACAGAGACTCGACCCCCAAATTCCCAGCTTCAGCCCAACCCTGGCCCATCCTGGGATCTCCCTTCCAGTCTCTCCCACAGCCCCAGCTCTGTCTCCCCAACTGCCCCTCCCCACCCCTGCTGCCATCTACCCATCTAGGCTTTCCCCAGCCCAACTGCCCCACTCCTAGTCTCTTCTTTCCACCCCAACCACCTGCTCACCTCTCTCCTGCCCCCTTCCATGTCCCCACAGAGACTTGGCCCTAATGGTGGCAGCCCTGGCCTACAACCAGTGGTTCACCAAACTCTACTGCAAGGACCTGCGGCTGGTAGGAACTAACAGGGACTGGTGGGTGTAGGGAGAGGGAGTAGTGCCCTCCTTGGCCCCTGTCCTCCCAGCACCCCTCTATCCTCAGGGCTCTGAAGTGCTAGAACAGGTGCTACATACCCTGAGCAAGTCGGGGAGCCTCGAAGAGCTGGTGCTGGACAACGCCGGGCTTAAGACGTGAGGCCAGCCTCCTCCTCGGGCAGTGGCACCCATAGGGCCCCAGAACCTCAGAGCATGAAATGGGCCTCTGGACTATCTCATCCAGCTCCTCACAGTCCAGAAGAGGAGACTGAAGCCCAAAGAGGGCACAAAGCAAGTCAGTGGTCAAGGGGACTCAGACCTAAGCCTCTGACCCCCCGCCATCTCCAAGGCCTTTCCCCAGTATGATCCATGCCCCGTCCCCTCTTTCTGTCAACTACCAAGCAGGGTAGGCTGCTCCAGTCTTGAGGAACCAAAGTTGGCCTTTGTCTCAGCACAACTTCCCAAAGTGTGGAATGCCCCCAGGTACTCCAGAGTGGTGGCGAGCTCCTTGGCAGGCCCTGAGCTGCTCCCCCACTGCGGGGATCTCTGACCATTGCCGCCCCAGCCAGGCATGAAGGTGGAGGAGGGGAAGCCAAGGGCTGGGACCTGGGGCTCAGCCCAGGACAAATCCTTCCTCCCCTCCCCTGAAGGGACTTTGTCCAGAAGCTGGCCGGGGTGTTCGGGGAGAACGGGAGCTGTGCGCTGCATGCCCTCACTCTGTCCCACAACCCCATCGAGGACAAGGGTGAGCCCCAGCCCTGTGTCCTATCCCCCACCACAATGCAGACCCCTGTCCTAGCCCAGAACCCAACCCAGGTCTGATCAGGGGCTCTCCGCCCTGATTCCAGTCCCGGCCTCAACACCTCCGTCCCTGACCCCAAACCTGTATCCCACTCCAGCCCCCAGCCTGACTCTGTGCCTCCTGTGCCCACTGCCCAGCCTCTCACTGGGCCCATTTCTCGCTCCACTCCCAAGGTTTCCTCAGTCTGAGCCAGCAGCTCCTCTGCTTCCCCACTGGCCTCACCAAACTGTGCCTGGCCAAGACTGCCATTTCCCCTCGAGGTACTTGCACCATGACCCCTGACCTCTGACCCTCCTCAAGTGCTTCCTGGGATGTCAAGCCCCAGAGGTATACCCACATACTCACACACCATCCCCGGGATCAAGGAAAGGGAAGGAGCCACACTTTGGGAGTGAGGGATGGTTATGTCCAGAGGGGAAGAGGTGGGGAGGGGGGCCAACCCAGCCCAGTGCCCGCTGTACTCAGGGCTCCAGGCGCTCAGCCAGACCTTCGGGGCCAACCCAGCCTTTGCCAGCTCCCTTCGATACCTGGACTTGAGCAAGAACCCTGGGCTGCTCGCCACAGACGAGGCTAACGTGAGTCCACAGAATGTAGCCTCGACCCCGGCGGAAAGCCTGCTTAGGCTTCAGAGCCTGAGAAGTCTTCTGCTCCGTGCCACCCAGGTGCCACCGTCCCTTCCCCTGCAGCCCCTCTGTCCTTCCTTCTCCAGGCCCTCTACAGTTTCCTGGCTCAGCCCAATGCTCTGGTACACCTGGACCTGATGGGAACTGACTGTGCCATCGACTCGGTAAGGGTTTAGTGATGGGGTGCCAGCCTGAAGTGATTTGGGGAGGCCAGATCCTGAGTACAGAGGTGGGCAGAGCTGTCTGGATGACTTCGGGTTCGACCAAATTATAAAACAGTGTCACATACCTCATACCCAAGTGGCATTTTATCTATGTCACAAGGTTGTGCTGGCTGTGCCTAAAAGCCAACCCTTAGCCAGGCTCGGTGGCTCAGCCTGTGATCCTGTGCTTTGGGAGGCTGAAGTGAGTGGATTGCCTGAGCCCGTGGGTTCGAGACCCG